GGGAATATATATATCCTCATAATCTTAAATGAAAATTATACCACCAAAGGAATCATTTTGAGAAAAAGAAGATTTTAAAAAACTGTATAGCTTGTTTCCCAGAATTCACACCCCTTTCATGCAACATACCAGCATAGAATATGAGTATATGCATCCTACCTCAAGAACTATATCTACCAAGCCTTTACACCTCATTCTAATGGTAGGACTTTGCCCAAACATATAGGTGCTAGGTTTTTGGTTTTTTTTCTGCGAGTGCATCTGTAGGTAGAAGGATGGGAAAGAAAACATATCTTAGATCTATTACACAATTTTTTTTTACTATTTCTGGATGAATTATAATGGGATTCTGGAATGTCCCTATTTGGTTTCCTCTCATTTTTGTTTCTTTTCTGTCCCACTTTACCATCTCTTGAAGATGAGAGTGAATGGCCAATTACAAGTTAGCAAAATGTGAAAGAAGGACTGACATTGAAGTCTTCTCTGTCTTTTGACCTCTACGGTCCCCTATCTTAAAACAAGATTAGCAGTGTTGGGAAGGTCTGTGTGTGGTGGGAGCATTCAATCTTCACCAGGGTTTAATTGAAATGTGGAAACCTTGATGTTTTTCATGTGTTCCTCTTGAAACCCACTTCAAAAGTTTTGGTGAACTAGTCAGTGCTTCTTAGTAGCAATATTTTAATGACTTCTTTTAACTTTGATGCTTTAGTTTGATCTTTCTTTTCTTGACATTTATTGCTTTGTCATCAGCTTCCCTGGGTGGTAACGATTATGGAAAGATTTGATACATGCTACCAAGTTCTTATGAAATAAAAGTTTTTATGCCTCATGAAATTTTCATATTGTCAAATAAGAGCCCCCCCCACTTTTTTTTTCCAGATTTAGTTGTGGTCTAGCAATTTAGTGCATGGCTTATTAGATAGAGCAATGGAATAAGGTATGCATTCTGTTCCTTGAACTTCACTGAATACAGAACCCTAGTGTTGTTATTCAAAACAGGGCAGATGCAGTGTTCCTTCCCCATTCACCCAAGTAGGAATGGGCTGTTTACTGATTTTAAATCTAAAGAAGCATGGCTTGGAAGACAGAGTTCTACAGGTACCTGAATGGGTCAAGTAATTGCATAATTTTCAGATGTTAATTCAGACATGAGGAAAAGAACTACCAGTCAGGCCTCCAGATTCATGGAATTAGTATTCGTTCCATTACAACAATTTTTCTTCCAGCTGTTCTTCACACCTGCAGGTGCAACAGAAAAGTATTTGTTTCTGTGCTGCTGTCTGGTGTGCTTTAAATTACATTTAATAGCATAAGGCCCATATGTATGTCACAGTCTCTCTCCAGACCTCTGATACAAGTGTTAATAGCATGAGGTCATGTGAAGTTGCCAGCAACATACAAGAGCTCCTTGTTAGTAGACTTTTGTTCTTTTTTTCTCTCTTTATTTCTCCAAGAAGGTTTCAGGAGGTGGTCTCAAGTAGTTCTCAAAGTACAACCAATTGTATTATTTATATTGCACTAGGGATGGACATCTTTCAAGTACTTCAGAGAAAAGTACACTATTAGGGCTCCAGTTGGGTTTTGTAATCCCAATGACAGTCGGAGGCAGGTGGCAGGGGCGGAGGATGTAGGAGGTGGAACATGAAATGTTAACTGTGAATTTCGTGACTGCAGATATCTGGAACTAATTTGGTTTAATTTTTTTCATGTATTTTGGTGATTTATACAAAAATATAAAAATTAGTGAATAACTTATTAATGTAAGGTTATTCAAAGAGTATTTTTGCATAAATAGATTATATTGCCAAGAAAAAATATATATATTTTGGTGTATTTGAATTTTTAAGAAAAAGTTTTTCTTTTTTTAAACTTAGGGAAAGTAAGAAAAAGTTCTACTAATAACATGTAAAATTACTGAGAATATTAATCTGTCATTGTGTTAATGATGAGGTTTTTCTTCTAGAAGTTTTTTAGTATCATTCAAATGGGAAAGAGATTATATAAATTTCGAAATATTATAAAAATAAAATATTATCCCTTATATTCATATGAGAGAACTAAGACCTAACTTAGGGACCTTAAAAGTGACTGGGTAAGTAATTAGAATCCATCTAGTAACCTACACTCCTGGTCTTCCAGTTCAGTGCTCTTTTATAAAGAGACTAAACAGGAAAGGAGAAATAATCTGTGTTCAAAACTTGATAGACATTAAATGATTTATGTTGTTAGAGTGGGTACATATATACTAGAAAAAGCAGCAATTTTAGATTCAGGCCAAAACTGAGTTTTGCTAATTCCAGTGAATTTGGAAAAATAATGTGATCTCTGTTTTTGCTTATTTTCAAAATGCAAATGATAACGTTTTGAGAAATATTGTGAAGATTTGTGATCATGTTTGTAAAGGGCCAAACACAGCACTTTGTATATAGTAGATGCTCAGTAAATGTAGCTACTGCTAAAAAATGTTTTTTCTGTTATTGATGAGCAAAAATAAAATGTAATAATAGTATTTACTTTATCAGTAGATACTCAGTTGTGTAGAGCCGATGTAGAATGAATAATCACTTTTATCTCACCAGCTACCAAACAGTACTTCTGTTTAATCTCTTAAGACAAGCCCCACCTTCATTTCTGAATTTGCACCCCATTTCACTCAAACATGGAATCTGGAAAAGCTAAAACCTCTTTAATTATAAATTCCACATTCAAAATGAAATTAGAATAACTGGTCCAACTAGAATTCATGCATTTATAATTTATGGAAAACAGCAGGAAATGGTGGAAGGGGACTGGATGTAGTGTCAGGAAAAGCGGAGTTGGAGTGTGGGTGAGATCTGCCAGGTATTGGTTGCATGATCTTGAGCAAGTTTCATTTGTCCACACCACTTCCTTTATCCGTAACATTAGAGTCAGGCATCACTGCTTTTCAGATTTACCTCGAGGATTAAATGACAGTTCACTATAAAGCCTTTCTCTGTTCTGCAGGGCAGTATTCATAATAATATAGTCATGCCTCATTACCCACTAGTGACTGGTTCTAGGACCCTCTGTGGATACTCAAATCCACAGATGTTCAAGTGCCTTATATAAAATGGCATATATTTGCATATATCCTCCTTTGTACTTTAAATCATCTATATCATTGATAATATTTAATATAATGTAAGTGCTGTGTAAAGATTTCTTATACTGAATTTTTTAGGAACTAATGACAAGAAAAATTTAAGTCCATACATATGCGATGTAGACACATTTTTCCTTTTTTCAAATATTTTTCATACAAGTCTGGTTAAATCCATGGATGCAGAACTCTGGATACAGAGGAATGACTATACTTCTTTTCTTTTCTTCCTGTTACATCACCACCCTAATGTTAATAAAAACAGGGGAAACCTAAATGTGAAATTACTCTTTGAAAATACAACTTAGAGCCTTGAAAGATTATTTTGAATATAAGAGGATATATATACCTGCTGTAAATGTGTAATATTCAAAACTAGTAAAGAACTTTTACATGGGAAGGTAGAACTTGGCAGACATTACAAATACTTTGCCTTTCTCATCCCCCAAATCAGAAGTATTGATATGATGATTTCAATATAATAAAATCATTGCCATGATTTTTTTTATTTTGCTTGTTTTTAATACCATATATCAATGTATTCCTAGGCCAAATGACGTATAGCATATAAATTATAGAATAAGGTAAAAGAGAATTCATTCCAGAAATATATGCAGGATTCAAGGTTCCACAAGAAAAAGAGGATGACTCCCTCTATATTGATGTTGACTGTAGTAGCCGAATGTCTTATTCCCAAAGTTTGTGATTCTTTTGTTCCCTGGAACCACTGTCATGCACCAGGAATTTAATTCAAAGCAAAGCCCTTATTGTGGGTAAGTAGGAGCTTAGTCGATTGGAAACTGCTGAAAACATCAACATTGTCATCAGTGTGATACACATAGTAACCAACTCACAGAAAACTATATATCTTTTCTATACTCCATGTAGATCCAGACCACCTGAAGGATTGTGTGCACACTAAGCCACAATTACACAGAGGCATTGCCAGTCTGGCCTGCCTCTAGATCAGAGATGAACAGGGTGATGAAAAGTACCAAGAAATGATCTCACATTTCTTGTTGAAGTTCAGGGAAATTTAGAATAGTTTGCTTGAAAAAAAATGTAAGGGACATATCAAGATTTGTCTCTACCCTCTGAGCACTGGCACTGAGTGAGGTGATATGTGGGAAACAAAGGCTATAAAGCTTGTTGTGTGGTACTTGTCTTTAAAGACAGTGGGAGAAAGAACATGTGTTCACAGGATACCTGTGATTAAAGCCAAGTGATAAATGCAACATAGGGGTATAAATCAAGTGTTTCTGGAAGCAGAGTTAAACATGCAGGTCTGATTTTGTAAGTCATCCATTCTGTGCCTTTTCTCAAAAGTCAAGGATAGGGTCAGCGGCATATCATTTTATGTAGGATGCAATCCAAATATTTGATTAAGTCAGAAAAGCAATCTAATCTAAACTATTTTGTACAACTATTTTGAGTTCTACAGAACAAAAGGTTTGCTTTTTTTTAACAGAAATTCAATTCAAATATTTGAGGAGATTATTAAATTATTTCTAACTAACTTAGCCATGCCACCTTTATTCTTGTCATCGGGTATTAAATAAGAGTGGAATGTTCTTGGCTGCAAGAGCAGCCTGATAAAATTCTCAACAGACATTTGATTAACTGTTTTATATAAATATTTGCCCAATTAGGATGCTGCTTCATATTTACTATTCACATATTGTGCAGAAACACATTACAGTGGGTACACCTTAAGTCCATAAGTAGTTTAAGCACTCAGGACTGATAAAGCAATTTGGTTTGATGTTTTGGAACTTAAGTCAAATAATTGAGTTTTCATTATCAACTAAACCATGTATAGAAGCAGAAACGTGCTGTGAATCTAACATGCTTCTTTCTGTTTGTTTTCTGTTGTTTTTAGCTGCAGTATTGAAGTATGAGAACAACGTTATGAATATCAGGCAATTCAACTGCTCTCCCCATCCATACTGGCTTCCAAATTTCATGGATGTTTTCACTTGGTCCCTGCCATTTGTTGGGGAAAAAGGTGTGTTGTACAATCTTGAGAGGTCCTTAACCAGATGGCATATAATGGGAGGAGAGGAGATTTGTTCTGTTTTAATAGGAAGTGTTCAGAAAGAGAAATCCTTTGGTCTAACCAGTAAAATGACAAGCTGGGCCATGAGAGAAGAGATTCAAAAGTGTGTCACTGTGTATATATTAACAGTATACAATGAATGGGTTAACAGGAAATGAGGAATATATTAGGAGAATTTATAAGAATTCATCAGTAGAATTCATTAGAATATTAGGAGAACTCATAAAGTCTTATTAGAATAATCTAATTTAAAAATAGCAGAAATATAGCTTTAGCTGGTTTCAGCGTACTTTTGTTACATTTCTAATGTGAGTAATGGTCATGGTACTGGTAGCCCTTAATGGCCACCATATTTTGAAAAATAGCTCATAAAACAATTAAAAGAGTAATTCATTGAAAATATATTGAGCATTAGTGTGTTACAAGGTAGGAACAGGGAGACAAATTTACATTTGAAACCTTGTGTATTAACTTGACCCAATTTTTCAGAAATTGGCTTTTCCTTCTTTTTTTTTTCCTCCCTTTTTCTCTCTCCTTTATTCTCCTCTCTGGCTCCTGTCCTTCCTATCTCCCTTTCTTCCTTTCTTCATTCCTTCCTTCTTTTCTTTTTTGTTTTACTTTTATATATTCCTAAACCTCAGAAAAAACCCATGAACCTTTAGTCATGAGGCCTTTCAGTGACAGACAGGTCATTCCTAATGCATCTTCTCATGTACCTCACAAGGACACAAGTGGGTTTGTAATAAAGATAAGAGTTTCCACGTGTTTCAGAAAAACAGGGTGTGCTGTGGGGAGCTTTAGAGAAGAGCTACACATCTTTCTGAAGCCCCATAATATTTGAGTTTATATATATCACAAACCAAATTGTGAGTGGTCAGTGAAAAATTCTTCCCTTTGGAAACCAAAATAAGTCACAAGTACATTTTCATAATGTCCTGCCAGTGCTACATTGGATGCTTTCTTGCATTGCTCAAATTGCAGCACCTGGTAAAATTGTCTCTTGGATCCTCCGGAAAACAAAGCAGCTTGAATCCTGATAACTATTGGATGCTCTTGAACACACTTGAGTTGAATGGCTTCCATGAATTATTCAAATTTTGACCATGTATTATAAAACGACACACAAATATATTAGTAAAGATAGTTCATTTTTTATTATGAAACTGAACCTCTGCATTAATTTTGGCTCCACTGAGGTTTTACTTTATCTTCAAAAACATTTTTTAAAATATCATATTTTATTTTTTTTTTATACATGTGATGCTGAGGATCAAACCCAGGGCCTCACACTTGCAAGATGAGAGCTCTACTACTGAGCCAAAGCCCCAGCCCTCATATTATTTTTAAAAGTACCTTTTAAAGAATTAGTGTGCAACTTTCTCTTCATATGTATGATAAAACTCAACTGTGCCCGACTGGTGGCACACACACATGTAATCCCAGTGACTAGAGAGACTGAGGCAGGAAGATTACAAATTGGAGATCAGGCTGGACAATTTAGGAAGACACTGTCTCAAAAAGCAGGGTTGGGGGGATAGTCTGAGGATGTAGCTTAATGATAAAGCACCCTGAGCTCATCCCCAATAAAATAAATAAATAGAAAAGAAAGAAAGTAACTCAACCTAATTTCAAAAAATATTAAATGTAATACCATTTACATTAGTGTAAGAATAATACAGCACTAATTTCCTGAGTATGTGTATAATACTTTTATTTTTGTAAGCCTATTGTAATATACTTAACTAAATTTCTGATTAAACTATAACTAAGTTATTTTAAAGCCATTTTTGGAAAATTTCTAACATTCTTCTTGAAGATTCATGTTTTCAAAACAACTTCAAATGTATTAATTCATCAATCTAAAATTTTTATTAAGTACAAGGCCACATACCTGTCATTGTGCTGGGCTCTCTGGAGGAGTAAAAAAAAAATTAAAAATGAAATCTGAATTTACTTAGTCCCTACTGAACACAAGTTTGTAGTCTAATCTAGATCATGCAGAATCATTTTGCAAATAAATAAAAAATTAAAAAATAACTACTTGCATCTTCACAGATTTATATGATATTCATATTCATATACTTGACTTATCCATTTTCTATTGACCTTCAGCTGATAGATATTAGCAGTACATTTCATAGGGATGAGATAATAATTTGATAAACATAGAGTCTACATAAAATCAGAAAGTCTGTGTCTTTTATGATGTGGATTTTATATAGACTGCTTTGCAAGTGATTCTGTACACTGAGAATCTCCTGTACTAAACTTGTTGATTTACAATATCAGAATAATAATTAAGGTTATAACAAAATCTGGATTTTATTTTGTTTCCTGTCCAGTGACTGAGATGCTGGTAAATGTCCTCAACATCTGCTCAGATGATGAACTGGGGTCGGAAGAAGATGGATTTGATGGTAAGAGTCCTGGGTCTTTGTACTAATGCTATTTCCCAGGTAAATAACTTGGCAATTCAGTGCTCACCCTAAGCATACATTTCTGAGATTTGGGTTATGTTTAAATCTCAACATACTATTGATATTGAAAAACATAATTTTATTTTCTATTTTCTTAAAAAACATAAGAAACAAAAACCATGAAAGAATTGCTCCATTGCTTTGAAGATATTGTTTAAATAGTAAACTCCCTTAAAAACCATCTTTCAGCTGGCACATCTGTAATCCTAGCTTCTCAGGAGACAGGAGGCTCATGAGTTTGAGGTCAGCCTCTCACAATGTCATGAGACTCTGTCTCAAAGTAAAACATTAAAAAAGAAAAAGGACCTGGGATGGAGCTTATTGGTAAACCCTGGGTTTAATCCCCAGTACTGATAAGAACCATATCTCTGTAGCTCAAATTGCTAATGAGTTTTTTTGACATCCTTAAAAAAGATATCATCCTTTATCTCTGGCACATATTACCATCAATTGAGCGGTTTTTGAATGTGTCCGTTAGTGGGGTTGTTCCTGTCAGTTATTAATATTTTGATGTTTAAGATAAAAGAAGGCATTTATCTATTAGTACTTATGTCAGCCCCAATAGTTTTTTATATCTGTAGTAATAAGTATGAATAAGCTATGAGAGGTTTTCTGTTGTTGTGATTTTTTTTTTTTAAATTTGGTATTCAGTTATCCTGAAAGAGTACTTTTTCTACAAAAGACAAAGATCCCGTGAGGTTAAAATGAAGGGAAAAAAATTTCTCTGGGTCTTACAAAAGTACACCTAAATGAATGGAAATAAACAACAATGTAGAGTTGGCATGTGCTAGAGTGAATTTCATTTTCACAAACATTTAGTAAGTTCCTCCTCTGCATAGGTCACTTCAGGTTCCAAGAAGCCTTCGAGACCCATTTGTTAAAGAGATTGCAGTCTGGTTACGGATGTGTAAACAGATAATGTTTATAAACTAAGACAAATAAAGTGAAGGTGGCAGAGGGAAACTAGATGTTATGGTGAATTTAAGTCGTTAACATGTCATTAACAACTGCACTTGGGTAAAATGAAAAGAGAATGAGGCCCTTTCTAAAATTTAGTATCTGAGTGGCCTGATTTAATATTTACTTGATCTTGATGCCAGTCAAAGCTTTAAATACAAAATACCAAAGCTTCAGGCAAAAATAAAATAAAACCCATGCAGTTATATAAATAGAGCATAAATAAATAAATAAAAGTCATGCAGTTATATACAGTTTATATACATAAATAAATATAAATTTCTCAATTTTTTCCCAACATCTTATGCTTACCCTCCTTTCTGTAACTTCTCTTGTCTTCATTATGTGTTCCTGTATATTATTTTTGAAGCATATACCACATTTCAAGGGTATGGGGATGTGCAATATAGGGAAGGAAAGAGAAAATGGAGATAATGAATAAAGTTTTAGTCATGAGAACTTAAGCAAATCTGTTGATATGTTTTGAAATTTGCAGAAAATCAATGGACATTTTGCATTTCATCAAGATTCTAGATGCTTCATGTTATAGCCAAGTTTGCTATAGTTATCTTTGTAAAAATTTTTTTATTTGTTCTTTTTTTTATTGGTTGTTCAAAACATTACAAAGCTCTTGACATATCGTATTTCATACATTAGATTCAAGTGGGTTATGAACTCCCATTTTTACCCCAAATACAGATTGTTCTTTTTTTAACTTTTTCTTGGATAGTGTTATCACTTAAAAGATAATATATTCACAATGGAAGAAACTTCTTTCCTAAGGGAAGTACACTAACATCAACATTTTCTAGTAGCTGCTTCTCACTATTCCTTTTACCCTTGTAAAGGTGGACAGGTGTGATAGCCCTGCTCACCCATCATCAGGGTCACAATGGACAATCCTATGACAAAAGTCAGGTCCATAAAAGAAAAGCATAACGTATTTATTTAAGCAAAGTTTTGTGTTGCATGGGAAACAACAGAAATAAAGACCCAGAAAGACAAGGAAAAATAATGTCTGTTTTTATTATGGGGTCCAGTGAGGCATGGGCAGCATATAAAAGTGTGACTGGACAAAAGGATTTGATCAAATGGTAATGACTGAGGGGAAAAGCCCAACAGAGTTGGCCTGTTCAGATTGTTCCTGACTTCCTTTAGATTCCTTTCTCCTGCATACAGGGCAAGACCCCTGTGGAATGAGGGTCTTCAAAGTATAAAGGAGACAGTAACTTTGCTAGGTTTTATGGCTTGCTTTGGGGAAGGGCAATTCTGTTTTATATACTTCAGGGGAGAAGAAAGGGATGAGAGAGAGCAGGATGGGAGAAGGTCAGAAAGACCTTGATTCTGAGGCTTTGAACCGAATGTCTCTCAGTTCAAAGTGTTTAGCATGCCAAGTTGTTACACTTCGGGGTGTGGTATGAACACTGAAATCCTCAAAATTATTAACCATTAATACAGGAATACTTCCCTGTTAACAAATTTCTATTTTAATCAAGTCCATTAGCCAATAGCCAATATTTATAAATATATGCAATAATAATGTAGAATAAGAATACATATATATGTAGAATAAGAATATAAGACTATATAATAATATAATATATAAGAATATAATATATAATATTTATGTATACAGAATACATATGAGTGAAAAATAAGAATATAAGAATAATAATGTAGAATAGAACTATGGAGGCATACATATGTTTGTAATTATTTATGAACCCATTCACTCAGCAAATATGTACTGAGTGTCTATTATGTGTCGGGTACTGCGGCCAAAAGTGCCTGCACATTTTAATGGCACAGGTTATTCCTGCAGATAAACATTACCAAGACTAACTCTGTGTCTACTTCACTTCCAGTCATCTCTCCTTACACACCCCTTCAATCACTTACATGTAAGGATATATTTTGACTTCCTCTGCTTTCAAATAATTACCTCCAATCAATGTGCCGTGCTCATCAGCAACTGGCTTGAAGCCTGTTAATTCCACTTATGGGAGTGCATTTCCTTTTTCAAGACCCTTGAAAGAATTGTTTCTTTCTGAGCACACTCCACTACCCTGAAGTCTGAGGTCAGTCCTGCAGAGAAATATGACTCTTCCCCATCCAAGTGCAGGGTGGTAAATGGTCCTGATGATCTAACCCTGTCTTGCCAACTGGCACACATGAGAACTGTGTTCTTTACTTTTTTCCAGCTTTCTTCATTGGTCCATTTCTGTCAACTTAAATATCAGTCAGTTCTTCCTTTTTCTGAACAGTTTCTTCTGCTTTAATACAGGTCATCTTCCTTGTCGGCATATAGAATACAACTAATGTTTAAAATTTTGAAGCATTATTAAAACAGAATACTTAGAAGTGTTTAAGATACATTAAAAGTTCTACTTTTCTATATATAATTGTTATCAGTTTGCGGATGAGAAGAAGGAGACAGACTTTTTAGGGGAGGTAGATGGCATTTCCTTGGTATCCTGTCTCTTGGACATAATATATTTTGCTTCACAAGTAGTATGGAAATTTTTTCCCCCGTCTTTTATTCTCTTATTCAAAATTTGTTGGTTTGTCTCCTGTAAACAGGCTAAAGAGACACATTTACTTGATCTCTTGCTTTATGTCTTTAGTGTAGACGTTATATTGGGCAGGAGGAAAGAGATAGGCAGTTGAAAAGAGAGTGTCCCTCTGGCTGATGGGACACTCCAGCACCTACTAGCACTATAGATCCTGGTTTCCATTAGAAACACTGGATTCAAGTTTCCCAGAAAAAGAACCTCAAGGAAGTAAAGAAGAAAAACTATGTTTAACAAGGACAGGCTCTATATGCATCTAAAAATAGGTTTTGATTAAGAAGAAGCTGGTTCTATGGGGAAAAAATCTTAGGCTCTATTTTAGCCTTTTGTGAATAGTTTTATCCTCTCTAAATAAGGTGATAATAAAACCCAAGATGGCTCTCTATGAAATTTGGAAACTATTATACGTAAAACATATAAAGAACATCCAGAATTTCCTAGCATTAGTACAGTCTTGTCTGCCAGCATTTAAATAGATGGCAGTTTAAAGATCATCTCCAGTTAAACTGTTAAGGATTTCCAGATCCAGAATCTGAAATGGGCTGAAGTCAAGGCCAGCAGATGCTGCCCTCCTATTTCAAAGATTTGACCTCTAAATGACATTGATATTTTAGCTTAAGTCTTATAAATTTGCCCATTAAAGGGGGAACTAATAACTATTTTTTTTAGTTAGAAGTATATTCAGCTTAGTACATTGCACATTTTGATGTGAGCAATGAGGAAGAGACGTAGCACTTTATTCAACATGACATAAAAACCATCAGTTACTTCCAGAGTGCTCCAAGAACACCTTGAGCCCCCCACAAATCTGACTCCCCCCCTTTGGAAATACGATTTGTTGAGCACATGTTTTGAAGTTGTCTTTTTGTGGCATTATTTCCAACCTTGGGATAAAGTTCCAGTTCTTCCACCCTGCCCTTCCTACAAGCAGTCTGCAGCCTGTCCCTGGGAGCTGGCCCTCTGTGTCTGCCTGCCAGGGTCCTCCTATTGCCTGCATAGATGCAACCAGGAGTCAGCAGCCATCAAAGGACTTAATTAATGCTCTTCCTTAAGTTCCTGTTCATTTTAAGTGGGGCCACCTCCTGGTGAGTCATCTATCAGGCCCTTCTCAAAATTTGTCCCATATCTGATGTCAACTAAAAAGTCCAAGGTAATAATGCCTTTACAGTCCATCATTTTTTTATTTGATGAGGTTGACTTCTTACTGTCTGTAGAGCTATAGCAAATAGGGATTCTCCTTATTCCTTTCAGCATCTGTCAACTTCCCTTTAGCATTTCATGGGGATGATATGTAAAGATGACAGAATTTAACACTTACGTGTTGGGCATCATTATAAGTTGTTTAAGTCTTAGATAATTTATTAGGTAACATATTAACTATAATCTTCAAGGCAGCTTTTTTATATAAGTACT